TTTTAGGGAAGGGTCTACAGGGTGTTCAGGGTCTCACTACTAGATTGGACTCATGGTGATCCACCTATTTACAGCCTCCCGAGAGCTGGGATTGCAGGCGTGCTCCACCACGCCCTGCCTCAATTGCCATCTCAGCGCACCCCGGGGGCTTGCAGGTACTTTAATCCTTTGAGCTATTTGGCCGGCCAGTGGCTTTCCTGATATGAATACAGCTGTTTTCATCATTGAGAAGAGCACATTTCCTGCCATCGCTGAGGATGCTGTGGTTCTCTTCAAAGCAGCTTTAGTCCTTATTTTGAGCATAGCTTCCTGGCCCCAGGGCAGACCCCTCAGCCTGCTGGCACAGGTTCTTCATCCCTTGGGCACAGATTTCCTTGCTTCTACCACTGACTTTGGGGCCTTCCCAGCACAGATCCTTGATACGGACTTGCATGAGACATTGTCATGGGCTCTGGGCCTCTAGCTGTACTCACGGAAGACATTGTCATGGACTCTAGGTTTTCAGCAGGACTCATGCAGGGCACTGCTGTGGAATCTAGACCCTCAGCTGGGTTCTTTGTGCCTAATGCATGGTCAGATCTCCTGCATTCTTCAGCATTTGGCTTTTTGGATGAATATTATCAAATAACCCTATAAATTGTGAGTCCTGTATTCAGCCTATTCCCTTGCAAACCCTGACAACAACAGGAGGGAAAATATACAAAAAAAAAAAAATGTGTTCTGTGGAGCATGCACAGGCATTTCTCCTTGTCACTGTAACCTAAATAATACTGTATAACGACCATTTCCATTGCATTTACCTTGTGTTAGACATTTTAAGTAATCTGGAGGTGGTTTAAAGTATACAGAAGGATGTGTATAGCTTCTATGTAAACAAATTTTGGTATGTGGGGCAGGGTCCTGGAACCAGTCCTTCCCTGGGACACCAGGGGACAACCATACCAATAAGTGAGAATGACTGTGTTACGTCTTTATGGACACTGAAATTTTACTTTCCCATATTTTTTTTTTTTTTTTTTTTTTAAATATTTATTTATTTTTATTTATTACATTTATTTATTGTGTGTGTGTGTGGCCAGCTCAGCCCACCAGGGGGCAGGGCTGGCTGGCATGTGGTGCTGGGGATCGAACCGTGGTCCCTGTGCTTCGCCAAGCTTGATTCAAGTAGGTGCTTTAGACCACTGAGCCATCTCTCCAGCCCAACTTTCCCATATTTTTCATGTGTTCACAAAATATTTTTCTTTCCTTCTTTTTTCGCTTATTGAAAAGGTGCGGCAAACTTTCTTAGCATGAAGGCCAAACACAGACAGGTGTCAGGGAGAGACCGGCCTCAGGCTGGAAACTGCTGCCTGCTACAGATATGGGACTGGCTGCAAGGCTGGTGGAGAAGAGCCCAGAAT